CAAAAAAGCGCTAGGAGCTCCTGCTATCTCTACTTGGTCAGATTTAAATTGTTTTTACTTTGTAATATAAGTCTACAAGGAGAGAATTACTTGCATTCTTAATCTACAGATGCTTAGTTTTCATTTTACAGATGAAAAACAGTACCAGCTTCCACTTCACACACATATTTGATGTTAGAACACTTATTATTACACTCTTGGAATTAAATTGTGCTTGCTGTACCTGCAGGAATTGGTGATGACTGCAGCATACATGATGCAGAATTTGAAGCATCTGAAATACTCTTGTCAGATGAGGGAGCATTACTGTATGGATGTACAAGAAGTTTCGCACTCTGTGTCACAGAGATATTTTCATCTGTGCTCTGGCTGCTGAGAGAGTGTAGACCCACAGAACTTCCATCTTAAAAAAAAACACAAGAGGAGAAAAGAGAAAAAGAGCAATCTGTGTTACTTGTATGTTCAAATAAAACGCAGCCACTGGGAGACTATTTAAAGCAATTCCATAAACCAAGTCATAAACAAACTACATTCACATAACGTACAACACATATGTCCTTACACTCAAGTTCTGAGTATCTTAATATTTTACCAGGGCTTGAGCATGGGTTTGGGGGTCCTGTTTTATTTTAAAGAAATACTGAGAGTATGAATATGATGTGAACTTTAGTGTAAAAGCTCTCTTTGACAGAAAAGTTTTGTAGAGACTAGAAGAACAAACTAAACCCTTTCAGTATCTGGAGATGCAGCTAGAAGTTAGCATGAAAGAAGACTAATTTATTTTGATGAAGTATGGCAGTGTAACAAAGGTGAAAATATTAAAAGAAATATGAAGGTGGAAGGAAAGAACATGAGCAATGTTAACATTCACTAGGAGGCCAATGGAAGCTTTTTGCAGTCCATAAAACACGATATGACTTCAAGGAAGCTTCAGGTAAACTTTTGCAGAGGAAAAGAAAAACAAAGGGATTTCTATCAGGTGGGAAGCTTAATAGTTTCTAGTTTTAGGAATTTTTATAATAGAAAAGGATGATGGATATAAAGGCAACAGTAGGAATTACTCAACGTAGAGATGGCAAACAGCTGATGAGAAACAAACTACAGGACATATGCCTAATTCTGTGTACAGTTTTCATTACAGACTTTCACACTGTCACTTCATGAAGGGATGTTAGTTAACAACCAAAGATGCAGATGTTTCTTCAGACGAACATCTGAAGAAACAATGACAGGAGGCAGCCCCATGGACAACTTGAGATTACCTGTCCAATGGGGGAATCTGAAGATGTATTTCCAGTTCATTGTTGACCTGTAGAAGAATATGTCTATAAGTACATGGAGCAGGAATAGGAAAATGTAGGAGAAATTACATTCTCAGTATTTTAAAAATGGTGGACTAGAACTCATAGTAACTAGTATTTTATTTCATGAATGAGAAAGTTGGCCAGAGCTATGCAGCGTGAAGCAGCAGGTATTATCTACTGCATGACTGAGAAAGGATTAGGAGACAACCACTGTGAGTGAAAGATCATTTTAGAAAAGGATTTTAAACAGCTCTGCTGGGATAGATTGTTAATAGATCTTTAGGCACTACCTATGTTTAATAACATTAGACACAAAACTACTGGGATTGTACTGCTATGAGAGAATGAGCTTGACCAGTGACCACGGCATACAAAATAGAATCACAGAAACACATAATGATTTGCATTGTAAAAGACCTCTAAGATCACTGAGTTCAATCGTTAGCCCAACACTGCCAAGTCCACCACTAAACCATGTCCTGAAGTGCTGCATCTACGTGTCTTTCAAACACCTCCAGGGCTGGTCATTCAGCCATTTCTCTGGGCAGCGTGTTCCAACACTTGACTTTTCTGTGAATAAATATTTCCTAATATCCAATCTAAACCTCTCCTCCCACAGCTCAAGGCCATTTCCACTCGTCCTATTGCCTGTCACTCTGGAGAAGAGGCTGACCCCACCTCATCACAAACTCCTTTCAGGTAATCCTAGAGAGCAGTAAGGTCCTCCCCTGAGCCTCCAGGCCAAATAATGCCAGTTCCCTCAAACAGAAACATGCTAATGAGATTTATTGAGATGCTATTCAGAAAGGGTTGACCCAAGTTACTCAGAAAGAACCTATCTGAGCTAGAAGACTGGAGTAATAGAAGTGGAAATTCAGAAAGAAAAACATGAGATCTAAACTTTCTGCTTCAAGCTCAGGTTAATGATTGGAATTGAGATGAGGAAAAAAAACCCCATAGGTAGATTATTCTGTAATGAAGGATCTTGTGAGAAAGTATACCGTAGAATTTTATTTCTCCTAAGTAAAAGTTGTTTCTTTTTTCTAAAAAACAACACTTGTTGTGTCTTTCATAATACTAAGTCGAGGTCTGGTAGCCTTAGTTCAATGGCTTCAGTTAGAACATGCACCAAGAGGACTAGTTAGGATACCACTGAATAAAGAAGTTTATTTTACAAAGGGATTTCAAAAGAGTGTATCCTGATCATCTAGCAAACAAAGTGTATCAAAGGATTACTCTTTGTATCAGAAATGAAATAGGAAGGGGGAAAAGAGAGGCCTGAACTTCAAGAAATGCCCAAGGAAAGCTCACTAGGGAAGGGGGGAAAAGAAAGGTTGAAAGTTAGAAGACAAGTTTCAATTCTGAATAAGAAAGTTTCTGAAGAATTATTCTAATTGTACTGGTGGAAAAAAATAACTATTAAATTCTATAGTCATTAACTTCTGCATTGGTGCCATCCCAAACTCATCTCTTGCTAACACCTACCTAGAAACAGATTTTTCACCTGAAACAATTGCATCTAAATTTGCAAAGTAAGAGGAATGTCAGTCTTGCTTTCCATTGTAACACTACCTCATGCAGATATTGGCAAAAAAATAACAAACACTTCTGAAGCAGGAGGTGTAGACAGCATTTTAACAAGCTTTACAGTATCTGTACATAAATACAATACAGTCTAAGCAGTGACTCTATTAAGGGACCACCAACTGATCAGTCAGATTAATCGTACCAACAAATCTGCATCAGTGATCTCCACAGGCATCCACAACAACTTTTAATTGGAACCATGTAGTTTCTGAGGTCAGCAAAAACTCCAAATTGAGTTTTATCAGGAAATTTTCCCAACTTTTGTTCAGAAAAGGTGGCAGCTACAAAAGGCCTGTCCAGATACTCTTGCAAGGCAATCTATTTATTAAAGTCATTTTTATTTATTGAATTAAAGATGATCTAGAGGTTGGGCTGCACTGGAAACTTTCAGTGTATTCAGCTTTAAGAATGCCTAAAAATGCGCAGCCTTTACATATTTAGAAGTAATTCACAAATTTAAAAAAAAACCCCAAAAATACAGTTAACTAAACTGCCAAGAGTCTGAAAAAAAAAAAAACCAAAAAACCAGTTAACTAAACTGCCAAGAGTCTGAAGGGACAAGTAAATGCTCTCTCTGCACTGATAACCCCAAGCAGAAAAACTGAAGCAGTGAGCTCTGGAGATTTTTTCTTAGGTGACAGGAACAGAAAATCAGAGCTTAAAAACTGTAGTTTTTTTTTACCCAAAGCACTAAGTTTACACAACACATCTATTTAACCAAAAAACCAGTTAACTAAACTGCCAAGAGTCTGAAGGGACAAGTAAATGCTCTCTCTGCACTGATAACCCCAAGCAGAAAAACTGAAGCAGTGAGCTCTGGAGATTTTTTCTTAGGTGACAGGAACAGAAAATCAGAGCTTAAAAACTGTAGTTTTTTTTTACCCAAAGCACTAAGTTTACACAACACATCTATTTTCTGACTGAGACCCAGCTTTCTACTAAGAAAATGGAATGTCACAACAGGAGTGTAAAGCCACAACAGTAACTTAAATTTATACAAAATCAATAGTATCTCACCTGGTGAGAGGATATTACACTGGGGAACAGACTTGATTTTTGATATATCTGGAGAGATGCTTCGAAGGGGAAGTGCATCACACTGTATGGAGCCAGAATATGTTTCCTGAAATGAATCCAGGTGTATATTGAACAGGCACACTAAATAAATACCAAGTTGCAATTTTTCACAGAGCACTTCGCATCTCCGTGTTTACCCTGCTATCTAAATGCTCAATAGACAGCACAATTGAAATACAGTACATCAGAAGAAATTATATTAATACGTGCATTTTTCCATAGCTGACAGCAAAATTTTGTATACAAGTTTAACTGCTAGCAAGAACCAAAAGCAGTAGCACTAAGAATCAAAATATAAAAACAAATCTATATGACCCTATATAAGCTAGCCCAGTAGAGGTGTAAAGGAGCAGTAGACAATCTTACAAGTTGCAGACACTGTGTACTGCATTCCTCTTTGAGGGGATCATAGAATCATAGAATATCCTGAGTTGGAAGGGACCCACAAGGATCATCGAGTCCAACTCCTGGCCCCACACAGGACATCCCCAAAAATCTCACCATGTGCCTGAGAGCATTGTCTAAATGTATCCTGAACCCTGGCAGGGTTGATGTTGTGACTACTTTCCTAGAGAGCCAGTTCCAGTGCTCAATCACCCTCTGGGTGAAAAACCTTTTCCCAATATCCAGCCCAAACCTCCCCTGACACAGCCTCATACCACTGACACAGCTTCATGGTGTATTTAGAGCTTACCCAAATTTAGAAGCCCTAATTTCTGCATACCCACCCTTTACTATCTTCACTGATATGGCTATGTATTGGTTACACCCTGGCTCAAGTAATGCATTTTATGCCTTTCCTGACTGCACAGGAAATTAAAGTGCAAAACAACTCTCCTTTACTAAGCTAACCCTCCTTTAAGCCCTCAGAATGCCAACATACCAATGCACCTGGTAAAATATTTACCTTTGGGGGATTCAGAGGTATATTTAGAGATATCTGATCCACATTTGCTTTCTTTCCACTTTTGTAAATACATCGTGATTCATATAGTGACTGGAAGAGACATATTTACCCATATTAAATTTCTGCTGTAAGACAAGATGACAGGTGTGTACAAACACATGCTTCAACCAGATACAAGATTAGATAAATGACAAAGGCGACTACATTTCTTTTAGCAAGCAAAAGTTACCAACTTATTTGACCAACTAATTACTAACAAAAGCCACTTACCTTTGATCTCTTTAACAGAATTACTGCTTCCAACATAGCTATTTCATCAAATGTTCGCAGAACTGGCTCAAGGTCTATTAAACATTCTAAGCAAAGAAAGAGTACTTTGTGAATGGTTTGAAGAGGAAATCAAGTTGTCATTTTGCTAAAGTGTCTTTCTTACATTAACAAAAATAATTTGCCTATTGACACATATCAAACCACTTATGCTGCTAAATAGAATTTTCTTGCTTCCACCAGTTCACATCACCAAAAGAAATCTTGTACTCATCTGGCCACCTTATAATTCTGTATCAAAAGAGATTCAGGACTGCCCCAGACTGCATGTCTGGCATTCC